AAAAAATCTGACTGTATATGCTAAAAAGAATGGTATCATTGCTGTAATTAAACTAAAATATCCAAAAAGTATTGTTCGTATAAAATATAATTTATCCACTTAAAGCCCAGCCTTTTCTGACTCCTATTGCTTTTTTTTTTGCTAGAAAACTACTTAGAACCCTCAAACATTATATATTTTTTTAGCAGAGGCCCTAGAGAATAAAATGGCGGGTTTTGCAATTTTGTATGTCATACGGTATTTGCGCAGCAGTTTTTTGAATACAGTTTTTTTGAGGAAAAATACGCTTTTGTGAATTTTAATGTGCACAAATTCAATATAAAATATATATATTATGCATATTTTTTGTACAAATTCAATAAAATACCCAATTTTTGGTAAAATTTCAAATATGATGTTACACTGAGTAAATATCAAATATGTCACTCTTTAATATTGTGCAAATGTGCATCCAAACTATGGTATTTAAAAAATCTCCATATGTGACATTGTATAAACCTTTACAGGTTACCAGTTTAGAGTTTCAAAGGTGGTCTGGTACTAGAATTATTTCTCTCATTCTGATGTTCGCAAACATTTCTCATATGTGTGGTGCAATCTATGTTTACATATGCGTGCAGAACCAGCGTGTACGTTCACCTTTGTATGCGTGCACAGGGGGACAGGGGTACTTTAAAGATTTATTTTTTTTTTTTTTTTTTAATTTTTACACTGTTTCTTTATTTTTTTTAATAATTTTTATTGCTGTCACAAGAAAGGTAAGCCTCACTTGTGACAGTTACTTTTTATGGAGAGATCTGGGGTCTGGGGGGTGACCCCTCCTGCTGCTGTCTGTAAAAGCAATCCAGTAGCTAATTAGCCACTTGGATGGCTTTTACAAAAAAAATGGCCACCGGCTGAAAAAGACAATACCACTTGAAACCCGTAGTGTATATGTATGTTAGTGGGTCCTCTAGTGGATATATAATCCTAATTTAGTGGATGGCAGCCTTCCAGAAGAGAGGTCTGCAGATTTAGGGCTCTTGTACATGGGCCACCTGAGCCCATTCAACATAACTGCAGCTATATTTCCTCCACCCAGGCAGCCCAGGTGCAGTGTATAGCCTGTTGTGGACATGAATTGCTGTACCCATGTATATGGCGATGCCATAATTAACACCAGTACAGCCTTTGCAAAAAATAGACAATGTTAAAGTGTTTGCAGCTATATTGGTTGAGGTGTGTATTTCTTGCCTGTCTCTGTATCACAAAACAGAGTTTTATTGTTTATAAATATTCTACTTTTTTTTTTTTCATTTTCTACTGACCTAATATACTGTTATGCAGGTAAGTGCCCATGACTAGTTGTTCCAGCCTCTCTCAGTTGTTTTACCCCAGAGGAGCCATGGAAATAATCAGGTCTTCTGGAGTCCTTGATAAAAAAAAAAAAAGTTTATTAGGGTCCAGTTGGATAAATGCCCCTTAAGGAGGTGATCAGTAGTAAGAATGCCCCTTAGCTTGGTGGCGAGTAGAAAATGCCACCATTACAGAAAGCTAAAATGATCATTGGGTTCATGAAGCTGGCTCTGCCAAGTGGCATTGACCCCCGAAACTATGCAGGCTCCATCAGCTTGGAGGTCAATCAGCTCAAGGAAATGTCTGGAAGAACTCTAGTTGACAATAGTTGGGTTATACAAGTTTCTGTGGACGTATTGTTGTCATATATGATGTAATAGGTGTTCAGCACAGTACCTTTGTTTCATTGTTACACACTATTTCCACTGTGATTGAACCATGTTTTTATGCTCATTGTACATAGTGTTAGATAATGTAGAGTTTGGCAAACTGCAACTCCAGCTAACTTTTTCACTTACTGGTGAAAGGTTCTACCACCCCTCTGAAAAACAATCTGTGGTGGATTGCTTTCTTAGAGATGGTTTACAGCTGGTTTACAAGCATTAAAGAAGCAATGCTGACACCTCCTGAATGCCAGGTTTTTTTTTTCATCTCCAATGGGGATTTTACATTGAATTTCGATTGAAAGTCCCAAATTTGGTATGCTGCATTAAAATTGTTGCATTGTAGCCATGACGATGTAAATAGACCAGAGTGACAGCCATGTCCCTATATAGGTGGTTGGATGGGGGTATCAACTGCCTGTCTTTACTGCCCCCCCCCCCCGAAACCCATGTGAACTTAAACTTAGTGTTGTATATAATGGGGAAGGATTAGAGCCTTTGTCAGGTTTTTCCCCAAAATATTTTATTAAGTTTTTAAAGTTTAACACACAAATATAAATAAAGCCACATTACAATATACACTATCTCACAGAGGTAAGTACACCCCTCACATTTTTTGTAAATATTTTATTCTATCATTTCATGTGACAACACTGAAGAAATGACACTTTGCTACAATGTAAAGTAGTGAGTGTACAGCTTGTATAACAGTGTAAATTCGTTGTCCCCTAAAAATAACTCAACACACAGCCATTAATGTGTAAACCGCTGGAAACAAAAATGAGTACACCCCTAAGTGAAAATGTCCAAATTGGGCCCAATTAGCCATTTTCCCTCCCCAGTGTCATGTGACTCGTTAGTGTTACAAGGTCTCAGGTGTAACTGGGGAGCAGGTGTGTTAAATCTGGTGTTATTGCTCTCACTCTCTCATACTGGTCACTGGAAATTCAAACATGCCACCTCATGGCAAAGAATTCTAAGGATCTGAAAAAAAGAATTGTTGCTCTACATAAAGATGGCCTGGGCTATAAGAAGATTGCCAAGACCTTGAAACTGAGCTGCAGTACAGTGGCCAAGACATACAGCGGTTTAACAGGACAGGTTCCACTCAGAACAGGCCTCGCCATGGTCGACCAAAGAAGTTGAGTGCACGTGCTCAGCATCATATCCAGAGGTTGTCTTTGGGAAATAGACATATGAGTGCTGCCAGCATTGCTGCAGAGGTTGAAGGGGTGGAGGGTTAGCCTGTCAGTGCTCAGACTATACACCACACACTGCATCGAATTGGTCTGCATGGCTGTTGTCCCAGGAGGAAGCCTCTTCTAAAGATGATGCACAAGAAAGCCTGCAAACCATTTGCTGAAGACAAGCAGACTAAGGACATGGATTACTGGAACCATGTGCTGTGGTCTGATGAGACCAAGATAAACTTCTTTGGTTCAGATGGTGTCAAGTGTGTGTAGAGGCAACCAGGTGAGGAGTACAAAGACAAGTGTGTCTTGCCTACAGTCAAGCATGGTGGTGGGAGTGTCATGGTCTGGGGCTTCATGAGTGCTGCCGGCAGTGAGGAGCTACAGTTCATTGAGGGAACCATGAATGCCAACATGTTTTGTGATATACTGAAGCAGAGCATGATCCCCTCATTTCTGAGACTGGGCTGCAGGGCAGTATTCCAACATAACCCCAAACACAACTCCAGGACGACCACTGCCTTGCTATAGAAGCTGAGGATAAAGGTGATGGACTGCCCAAGCATGTCCCCAGACATAAACCCTATTGAGCATCTGTGGGGCATCGTCAAACGGAAGGTGGAGGAGCACAAGGTCTCTAACATCCACCAGCTCCATGATGTCATCATGTAGGAGTGGAAGAGGGCTCTGGTGAACTCCATGCCCAAGAGGGTTAAGGCAGTGCTGGAAAATAATGGTGGCCACATAAAATATTGACACTTTGGGCCCAATTTGGACATTTTCACTTAGGGGTGTACTCATTTTTGTTGCCAGCGGTTTAGACATTAATGGCTGTGTGTTGAGTTATTTTGAGGGTACAGCAAATTTACACTGTTATACAAGCTGTACACTCACTACTTTACATTGTAGCAAAGTGTCATTTCTTCAGTGTTGTCACATGAAATGATAGAATAAAATATTTACAAAACTGTGAGGGGTGTACTCACTTCTGTGAGATCTTGTATGTGGCCTCCATATCATGGGTAAAAAGAAACAAGTGGACAAATTTGTACATATATTCTCAACAGACATTGGCAATATTATTTCCACAAACAGAGGTATCCCCAGTGAGGTTTTAGTCCCGGTTCACACTGAAGTGGATCAGATGCAATCCGAAAGGCATAGATCCACATGTCGTCTGAAAATACATTGATTTCAGCCATTCACATCTATGCAGTGAGATTTTGATCAGGTTAAAAAAAAAATGTCCCTGTGCGAGTTCAGTGCAGATGAAATGCAAATTTTATCTCCAGCTATGCCCAATCCCCTCAGAAATCACATTAAATTGCACTCTTAAATCACATTGTGAAATCAAATCAGTTTGCACCGCATCTAGTGTGAACCTGCACTGAAAGGTTTTGTATGCTTTCCTTTTGTGAGATTTACCCTTGTATGCTCTTCTTTCTGACACCCATCAGCTCCCTTTTAGATTTTGCTAGTATATAAACACTTTATAATAATAATACTACTAATATTATTATTAATACGTATCTAGATATATTCACAACGGAGACATACAAAACAAAAAAAGAAAACTGAAATGGGCTTTAACCTTTTTGACAAAAGATGTGAAGTGGAAGAATCTTGGCATGACCTGTCCTTTACAAAGTAGTAAAACAGTGCTAAGCCCCCACAACTTTACAGGCAAATTGTGATTTTACCAAAATCCTTTTATTCATGCCGCTCCTTTCTCTCTTTATCAAGGTGCATTATATATAAACCAACTTCTGGTGCAGACCCCCCCCCCCTCCTCGCTGCTGTTCTGTCACATCCTGATTATCTGCCATCTTCAGAGCCACTCCAGGGACAACCATTATTCTCCAGTGCCAGAGCTGGCATATGTACCAGATTTAAGAGCATAACTGATCCATCTGTAAACATTCTCCCACCCTGGGAAAGATACATCAATGAACATGTCTAAGAGTCTAAATCTGAGGTCTATAAAAGTGACAGAGAGGGATCTTTGTACAACTGCACCCACCATTCAATGCTTTGTTGTATATGTGTTCATTGGTTAACTTTATCAAATATGTCTTTCCTACCCATAGACAAAATGTCGAGCGAAGAAAGTAAAACTGAGGAGGATACCATTGATACTGCTGTAGAGAAGATCACAGATCTAGTACTGGGTGAGGACAGCAAGTCCACATCCCAAGAAATCACACAGAGCAGCCAAGAGCCCAATTCATCATTTGCTGAGTCGGCTCCAGACTCTCAGAAACAAGTCCACCAAGATGGGCAAACCCAAGAAAACCCAGAGGAACTTTGTGAGTTGGTGAACTTAGAGCCAGCATCTGAGGCCACAGCCAACCAGGAAGAGCACGACCATCCCGTATGTCAACCTTTTTGTTTTCTTTCTCACTATCATGAGCTTAAATTATAGAAATAACTTGTTGTGAGACATGGTCACTATCCGGGCTGGATCTTAGGGGTTGTATTTCTGTGTGTGTGTGTGTGTGTGTGTATTTTCTCAAAAAAATTAAAGGAACACTTTTTAATCAGAGTATTAAAACTCCTGGGATATTGATCTGGTCAGTTACATAGCAGAGGGGGTTGTTAATCAAGTTTCCCCAAAACAGAAATGGTTTTACAGGTGGAGGCCAATGATGTTTTTTTCCCTACTCCATCTTTTCTGACAGTTTTTCACTAGTTTTGCATTTGGTTAGGGTCGGTGTCACTACTGGTAGCATGAGGAGATACCTGGACCCTACAGAGGTTGCGCTGAAAGTTCAAGTCCTCCAGGATAGCACGTCAATACTTGCCATTGCCAGAAGGTTTGCAGTGTCTCCCAGCACAGTCTCAAGAGCATGGAGGAGATTCCAGGAGATATCCAGTTACTCTAGGAGAGCTGAATGGGGCCGTAAAAAGTCCTTAACCTATCAGCAGGACCGGTATCTGCTCCTTTGTGCAAGGAGGAACAGGATGACCTCCAGCAGGCCACTGGTGTGAATGTCTCTGACCAATCAGGAATAGGCTTCATGAGGGTGGCCTGAGGGCCCGACGTCCTCTAGTGGGTCCTGTGCTCACTGCCCAGCACCATAGAGCTTGATTGTCATTTGCCATTGAACACCAGAATTGGCAGGTCTGTCACTGGCATCTTGTGCTTTTCACAGAAAAGCAGGTTCACCCTGAGCACGTGACAGCCGTGAAAGGGTCTGGAGAAGCCGTGGAGAATGTTATGCTGCCTGTAACATCGTTCAGCATGACTATTGTGATGGTGGATCAGTGATAGTCTGGGGAGGCGTATCCATGGAGGGATGCACAGACTTCTAAAGGCTAGACAATAGCATCCTGACTGCCATTAGGTATCGAGATGAAATCCATTGTCAGACCCTACGCTGGTGTAGTGGGTCCTGGGTTCCTCCTGGTGCACGACAATACCCGGACTCATGTGGCGAGAGTATGCAGGCAGTTCTTGGATGAAGGAATTGATACCATTGAATGGCCCCCATGCTCGCCTGACCTAATACAATAGAACACCTCTGGGATATCATGTTTAAGTCTAACAAACGCTGCCAGGTTGCATCTCAGACTGTCCAGCAGCTCAGTGATGCCCTGGTCCAGATCTGGGAGAAAATACCCCAGGACTTCATCCATCGTCTCATTAGGAGCATGCCCCCACGTTGTCAGACATGCATACAAGCACGTGGGGGCCATAAAAACTACTGAGTACCATTTTGAGTTGCTGCAATGAAATTTCGGCAAAATGAACTAGCCTGCTGCATACTTTTTTACTTTGATTTTCGGGGTGTCTTTAAATTCAGTTCTCTGTAGGTTGATAATTTCCATCCTTACGTTCCTAACACATTACCCAGTCCATATCAGTATATAGTGCCTTGAAAAAGTATTCATACCCCTTGAAATTTTTGCACATTTTGTCATGTTACAACCAAAAACGTAAATGTATTTTATTGGGATTTTAAGTGATAGACCAACACAAAGTGGCACATAATTGTGACGTAAAAAGAAAATGATGAATGTTTTTTTTAAATTTGTTTACAAATATCTGAAAAGTGTGGCGGCATTTGTATTCAGTCCCCCTGAGTCAATACTTTGTAGAACTACCTTTAGCTGCAATTACAGCTGCAAGTTTTTTTGAGTATGTCTTTACCATCTTTGCACATCTAGAGAGTCAAATTTTTGCCCATTCTTCTTTGCAAAATAGCTCAAGCTCAGTCAGATTGGATGGAGAGCATCTGTAAACAGCAATTTGTCTCGCCTCAGATTCTCAACTTGATTTAGGTCTGGACTGTGACTGCGCCATTCTAACACATCAATATGCTTTGATATAAACCATCCCATTGTAGCTCTGGCTGTATGTTCAGGGTTGTTGTCCTGCTGGTGAACCTCCCCCCCAGTCTCAAGTCTTTTGCAGACAGACTAACAGGTTTTCCTCAAAGATTGACATGTATTTGGCTCCATCCATCTTCCCATCAACTCTGACCAACTCCCCTGTCCCTGCTGAAGAAAAGCATCTCCACAACGTGATGCTGTCACCATAATGTTTCACGGTGGGGATGGTGTGCCCAGGGTGATGTGTAGTGTAACATTTTGCTTTTAGGCCGAAAAGTTAAATTTTGGTCTCATTTGACCAGAGCACCTTCTTCCACATGTTTGCTGTGTCCCCCACTTGGCTTCTCGCAAACTGCAAATGGGACTTCTTATGGCTTCCTTTCAACAATGACTTTCTTCTTGCCGCTTTTCCATAAAGGCCAGATTTGTGGAGTGCACGACTAATAGTTGTCATGTAGACAGATTCTCCCACCTGAGCTGTGGATCTCTGCAGCTCCTCCAGGGTTACCATGGTCATCTTGGCTGCTTCTCTGATTAATGCTTTCCTTGCCCGGCCTGTCAGTTTAGTTGGATGGCCATGTCTTGGTAGGTTTGCAGTTGTGCCACACTCTTTCCATTTTCGGATGATGGATTGAACAGTGGTCCGTGAGATTTTCAAAGCATCTGAAGGCAACTGGTTCCACTAGATCTTAGTGAGGGGTATCCGAATAAAGGGGGCTGAATACAAATGCATGTGACACTTCTCAGATATTTTATTTATAAAAAATATTGAAAACCATTTATCATTTTCCTTCCGCTTCACAATTATGTGCCACTTTCTGTTGGTCTATCACATAAAATCCCAATAAAATACATCTATGTTTTTGGTTGTAACATGACAAAATGTGGAAAATTTCAAAGGGTGTGAATACTTTTTTCAAGGCACTGTGTATATATAATATAATTTTTATTCAGTCAACAGGCTCTTGATTCCTTTTCACTTCGTTAACACAAAAACTTTTTTTTTTTTTAACCTGTTTTAAATTATTGCTATTCCTTGCTAAGGCAACAAACTTAAGTGCACTTCCATATGTTGGTGCACTGCTTTGGAAATATTGTCATATCTCTGCTTTGGGTGCCTTAAAATGACACATTGCACCAGAAAATGAAGGTGTGAATGGGCCCTAATTAATACTTCTATTTAATTCTTCAGGATGAAGAAGGTGCTGCAAAAGGAAGTAGCTGGTCTACTTGGGGAACATGGGGCAAGTCCCTGTTCTCATCAGCTAGTGCAACTGTAGGTAAGATAATTCTCGATATTTTTAACTGCAACAGGCAACTGTAACACATTCATGAAAGTTTGGTTCGAGAAGTTCAAGTGACAAAGCCATGGCATTCATAGACTATGTTGTACAATTATCAGATACATACACGGCTTTAATAAACCAACGAGATTTAAAACCTGTCTATATCTCAACCACTAGGTACTTTAATGGCCATTTATTAGGGAAACAAATGCTAGCTATAGGTCAGTCGTCCATGGGCATACTTGCATTCAAGGCCAGTTTGAGCTGCTTTTGAATTTCCATCAAACGTGTATCTTAATTATTTTGATCTCTTTCTGACCTGTATTTTATCTCCTTCAAAGCTGCTTCTACATTCCTATTATAGAGAGAAACTCAGTTCTACCAAAATAAAATGCAGTGGACAAAGGTCCTTACACATGGCAATTGTCTGGCTAGCTGGCCACAGTCAGCTTATAATTAAAAACAACAATCACATTGATCAAACCAAGCTGCCATCATTCCTACAATATAAACGTGATGTTAGTAGTTTGTAGTTTGCAAAACCCATCAAATAGATCAAGGCAATGGTTAAAAGCGTGTGAAATTGCTGCAAAATTGCTTGCATGTATGACCAACACCATAAAAGTGAGCTACAGTGCTCTTAAAGTGCAAGATTAGAACTTTGCATTTGATATTAATTTAGTTTTATGAATATTTAATTGGGAAGAACTAGAGCTGCAGTTGTGTTTTAGAGTTGGCTGCCTCTGTTGGGGTAAGTTTCTCTAATTTCCCATTCCTCTGTCACCATAACAGGAAATGAGGGAAATCTCTCCAATAGGTACAAACAGCAATTAAAAAAAACAGTTTTTATAGTGTTGAAGGTTTAAATCTCTGCTAGGTTTTACTATGGTCTATCCCCATTAGCAAACTTTCCCCTCCCTTCCTGACCCATGCATCACGATGTGACAAGGAGTCACCAGAAAAGGCAGTAATAATGAACTACCAGATGTTTTACCTCTTCTCCACTCTAAAACAAAAAAAATGTTTTGTCTAGCTTGTGAATATATAAAAATAAAATGAGTACTTTTTCTGAACAGGGCATAGCCTATCTGCTGTCAAGGAAAAAGCCGGAGCCACTTTGCGAATGAGGAACTCGGAGTCTGAGTCAGGTGCCACAGATACTGGAGAACAAGGTGAGTGTTTGTGCCACGTCTGATAACTACCAGCAACATGCCCTGCACTTATTTTATAAGATATGAAATGTGCTTCTAATACTTAACCCTCTATATATATATATATATATATAGAGTGCTCTTTTGTGCAAACAAATTGCATATCAATGATACTAAACTATAACATCTATGTTATATGTGTATATACAGTGCCTTGAAAAAGTATTCACACCCCTTGAAATTTGTGTACAGATATAAGAAAACTAGGTAGAGAACTGACCAACACTGTGTGCTCATGCCTAGTGTGGTCAGTTTTTAATAGGAAAGCAGAGGGACTGGCAGGAACACGAGGAATTTCAAACAAAACACTACAAAGAGAACAGGATAGTTTTTCATACAAGTACATCATACAGCAGGCACATATAAGTAAATTTATAACCAAAACTTTTTTTTTTTAAGTTTTAGGATAGAGTGGGGAACAGTTAAACTCCTTGCTTATTTTTTATTGCAGTCTGTGTACCATTTAGTGGAATTTCTTTCACTTCCTGTCTCAGAGACAAAACAGGAAGTTAGTGAAAATCTAAAGTAAGGAGAATACCCCTCTTAGACAGTACTCCTCAGAACATGTGTCACCATTGGAAGACTTTTTCTTCACCTCTTGTTTTGTGCACAACTGTAAAATGTTGTATTTCCCGTCTTTTCCTCTTAGATTGTAAGCTCCAAGGAGCAGGGCCCTCCTATCCCTCTTGTATTGAACTGTATTGTTGCTGTATTGTCTCCCTTTATATTGTAAAGCGCTGAGCAAACTGTTGGCACTATATCTAAAACTAAAAAAAAAAAACAGTTTGGCTTAGAGGAACACTTTATTAACCACTATAGGGCCACCCGCCTGCATTGTACTGTGGATGGGCAGCTCCTAAAGGCACCTGTGCGTCGCCTCCTGCTTCTGGGTTCAGGGCGTGCGCACACGCCCTGCCTGATCAACCCCCCCATGTTTAGACACAGTGGGATTTTGTCAGAAGGTTTCAGCCAATGATTTATGGCTGGGACCTGCTAATCAGCTGTGTCCATTCACAGTCCTGTGTTGACAAAGAACACGGGGCTCTGCACAGAGGGAATAATCTCTTTGTTTCTCCTTCCTACCCAGCAGGGAGAAGGAACAATTAGAATTTTAGTAAAAAGCAGCACATAATACACACATTAACATTAGGCACACACTTAACCCCTTGATTACCCTGAGATGATAACCCCTTCCCAACCAGTGTCATTTGTACAGTAACAGTGTATAATATTATCACTAGTCATTGAAATTGTGTACCTGGTGATGTCAGTGTCCGTCAGTTCCAACCCAGTGTCCATTAGTGTCAGATTGCCCGCCGCACTATCACAGCCCCACTATAAGTTGCTGATCACCGCCATTACTATTGTAAAAAACAAATCAATATACACTTATTGGAATTTCTTTTACCAAAGACGTAGCAGAATTGGCCTACGTTTATGAAGACATTTGTTTGTTTTTTTTTATTGGATATGTTTTATAGCAGAAAGTACATTTTAATTTTTTTTTTTTTTTTTTTTTTTTTTCATTTTCAGTCTTTTTTCATTTATATAGTAAAAGAAAAACCTTAGTTATGTTCAAATACCAAAAGAAAGCTCTATTTGTGTGAAAAAAATTTATATCAATTTCATTTGGGTACAGCATTGCATGACTGTGCAATTACCAGTTAAAGAAGCGCAGTGCTAAATAGCAAATAAATGGACTGGACATCGAGGGGGTAAAACCTGGCAGAGTTCAAGTGGTTAAAGACCATAATTTCATAAAACATGCTAGTGCAATGTGCAGAAACCAAAGGACACATTCTATTTTAGTGCACACAATATATCAGTACAGCACAATAAAGTACAAGATGTCGTCTTCTTATAACAGACATTTTCTCCAAAACATTACATTAGGTATAAAAACATACATTTTAGTGTGTCTCCATACCTCCACCTCCTCTTCAGAATAATCCTCACCCACAGCATTAGACATTTTTATTGTGTCATTTTAATTGTGCACCTTTTTAATTGTATAATTCAGTAATGTTTTGATAAGGAAGTGTTCCACCAGCCGCACACTTATCTGACCATGTATTTAACTGGTAAAAGCAGCCTCAGCTTGCTCCATCTGGAGTCACGCCTCCAACGCGAGTCCATGATTAAGCCCTAGGGATGGGGCTTCAGATGGAGTGAGCTGAGGCTACTCTTACCAGTTAACTTGATAGGTGTGCAACTGCCGAAACAATTGCTTATCTTTACAGCATTCTTGAGTCAGGTTGGACTCACTCCCAGCCTGCACCCACAAAGTGGTCTCCAACTCAAAGGACCATGGTTGACTGAGCAGGGGCCCCTAAGCAGTAAACTGGGTCTCAGTACTTTTGAGTCACAGACTTGAAACAAGCTTTCAGTAAATAAGTGACATAAAAGTCTTCATACCTTTTCTGGGTCAGTGACTCCGAAAGCAGAGAAGCCAAAGCATCGGCATGGCAGTCAGGGAACTAACATTCTGAAAAGGAGAGGCCAACAATGGTAGGCCATATAATATAATCATGTCAGGTTTTCTTTGAAGATTGGGACTCCCAAGACCAAGTAGGGTGAGCAGTATTGCTGTTTATTTAATAATACATAAGGAACAAGTTGACTGGAAGATATAGTCCTTATTTGGTGGTTTAAGAATTTGTAGCATTTTTAGCAAAAAAGGAGAAATGTTTAAAAAGGAAAAAAAAAAAAAAAAAAACCTAAGAAGCAGTTTTCATATGTAAACTGCCACCATAATATGCTGCCTTTTTTTCTGTTCCACCTGGCAGTTCCTGGTACATAAAAAAAAAAAAAAACTTAGTGTAACATGTCTGTATGCAGGGCTTTTTTTTCTCAGAAAATAGGTGCAGGAACTCAAGCATGACCCCCAAAACCAACCCCCCCCCACACACACATCCTCCAAACCATATCAAATATTGCAGTGTAGGAGGGTCTTAAAGGGGCATTAAATACCAGGAGAGCATTATGTTTACAGAGCAGAGTTCGGGGGGGATTACACAGAGTGCAGAGTTCCGGGGTGTGCTGCGTACATCGTGCAGAGTTCCAGGTGCGCTGCGTACATCGTGCAGAGTTCCGGGGTGCGCTGCGTACATCGTGCAGAGTTCCGGGGTGCGCTGCGTACATCGTGCAGAGTTCCGGGGTGCGCTGCGTACATCGTGCAGAGTTCCGGGGTGCGCTGCGTACATCGTGCAGAGTTCCGGGTGCGCTGCGTACATCGTGCAGAGTTCCGGGGTGCGCTGCCTACATCGTGCAGAGTTCCCGGGTGCGCTGCCTACATCGTGCAGAGTTCCCGGGTGCGCTGCCTACATCGTGCAGAGTTCCCGGGTGCGCTGCCTACATCGTGCAGAGTTCCCGGGTGCGCTGCCTACATCGTGCAGAGTTCCCGGGTGCGCTGCCTACATCGTGCAGAGTTCCCGGGTGCGCTGCCTACATCGTGCAGAGTTCCCGGGTGCGCTGCCTACATCGTGCAGAGTTCCCGGGTGCGCTGCCTACATCGTGCAGAGTTCCCGGGTGCGCTGCCTACATCGTGCAGAGTTCCCGGGTGCACTGCTTCCACAGCTGCTTTCCGCTGCATCCCAAAGCCATACTACTATGTTTACAAGAGATAGTGGTAAGCAGAGAGCAGAAGACCTGAGCCAAAGGTGGTGGAACTGATTTCCACCAAACTCCAGCTGGAAAAAGTCATGCCCTAAGTCTCTGTCCTCTAGTTGTTGGAAGGAGGTTAGCAGTGGCTAACTATTTTTGTCAGTACAGGTTTCCTTTAACACATTGTATGGCACTTTTATTTTGCCTTGAAATAATGTAACAATGAGACACACATTGAGTTTTTACACTGTTGTCTTGAAGTGTTGCCAGAAAAAGGAGATTGCCCAGCAGAGCCGTCATCACCTTCAGCGGGTTCCCGTGGTGTATTTTCCACCTTAACAAATGTTGTACAAAACACAGTGAGTAATTATAGCTTGGCTTTATGATTAATTAAAGTGGCTCTAAAGGCTCAAGATTTTTTACCTTCATGCATTCTATGCAAAAAACCTTTTCTGTGCAGCATCCCCCCTCAGCCCCCCTAATACTCACCTAAGCCTCTTTTTGATCCAGCAATGTGCGCTGGAGTCTTAACTATCCCGGGACTCCCTCCCTTCATTGGCTCCTACTACTGTCAGTCACAGCCAGTGAGCCAATGAGAAGAGAGAGGGGGCAGGTCCGAACCACGGCTCTGTGTGTGAATGGATCCATGGAGCAGTGGGTGCCCCCATAACAAGCTGCTTGCTGTGGGGGCACCTGATAGGAGGGAGGGGCCAGGAGCACCGGCGGAGGAACCTAAAAGAGGAGGCTCCGGGCTGCTCTATGCAAAACCACTGCACACAGCAGAAGTTTAGACATGTTTGTTTGTTTTTTTTTAAATAAGACTTTAGAATCACTTTAAAGTCTGTAATAAAGGTTATTTTTCTGGATTATATAATGGCTTAACCAATCTAACCTATTTACCTTTTACTTGGTTGTAAAGGCTAAAGAATTTTACTTTTCATGCATGAATGTAAAAATTTGTGCTGCTCCCCCCCCACAACCCCCCAATACTCACATTAGCCCCCTCCCGATCCAGCGATGTGCACAAGAGCCTTGGCTGTCCTTGCTCTCTCTCTCCTCAATGAGGAGAGAGCGGGACAGGGCCAAGTCATGTCTCTATATGTATGGATGCATAGTGAGCTCATATGACCAGTGCCCTCATAGCAAGTGACTTTCTATTGGGGACACTGGTCAAAAGGGAGAAGAGGATCGGGGCTGCTTTGTGCAAAATCATTACACAGAGCATGTAAGTATAGCATGTTTGTTTTTTTTGTTTGTTTTTTTTTTTTAAAGCTGAAGCTTGAATGTCACTTTAACTGTATCACGTAAGACATAATTTACTAAAGCCTAACCTTAACTGTGACCCGTAAATCCTCAACCCCTAAGCCTAACACTAGCCTTACCCCTACACTAATTACTGACACTACACTAACGTATGTTGAATCATATCTATCTTGTTCTGAGTCAAATCTGGACAGTGCTGCAATAACAAAATACCAACCGTGGTCTCAACACTGAAACACTGCGAAAAAAATTCAATTTTAGATGCAGGTTTCATGCACTGTATTAAAGTGGAACTTTAACTCAGAAAATTAAGTCCCACTAGATCACTTCAGGTTGACTTTTTTTGCAGGTATAACTATGTAAAACACTAAAAATAAGTCCCTATACTGTACAAAATCCAGAAATATACTGTCTCACCTTGCTCTCCACATGCTCAGGTGCTCTCTATTTTTGGCACTGTGCCAAAAATGAAAAGGTTGATCTGCTGGCAGCCTATAGAATGCTGCTCAGGGGCTCTGGGCTTCTGCAAAATATCAGCCTCCAGCAGGAAGAAACAGGAACAATGCTGGGGGAAATTTACAGCTAAATTTGGTAGCATAATTATTCATGTGGAGTGTATGTTACATGCTAAAGAACATTCTTTTTATCAAGTTGTTGTGAGTAAAGTTCCACTTTAATTAATTTCTGTATATTTCTAAATCATTATTAGAAGATAGAATTATTCTGTACAGAAGGTATGTATTGTTTTCTAAAAAATGTACTTACATACATGTACATAATTATTGTTGCAACCCTGGTAATATTTTCTAGGGTAAAACTGTCCTCAGTGGTGGTCTGGATGCCTTGGAATTCATAGGCAAGAAGACAATGAATGTTCTTGCAGAAAGTGACCCTGGCTTTAAGAAAACTAAAATACTTATGCAGAGGACGGCATCTTTATCACAGGTATGAAAAAGCTGGGCAAATCTAGAAATGTGAAATTCTGTTATGACTTTTCTAACAATTTAACTTGTCATAAACACCTTTTAAATAGAAAATATTAATTGCGGAGTCCTTCTTTATCTTTACCACTCCTGACCGATCATCTTTTACAAACGTTGGACAATCTGGCCCTGTCTCTTGAGATGTCTTCATTGGTTGGTCCTATGACTCTCCTTTCTTTGGGAACCCTCAATTTCCCCCAGCCCAATTTCGCTCCCATTTTCTTGTGTGGAACAAAACCATCCACAGGCGACTAATACAAATACTCCATCGGGGTCGTCTCCCTCCTTTCCAACCTCCTCGCACTTTGGGAAGGGCCTCTTTTTGCCCAATGGATGGAATATAGACAACTGGCGGTGTATATATACTGGAATTTTAATTTTTTTTATACTAGTAATGGCGGTGATCAGTCATTCACTGGGAAGATCAATGTGCTTCTGTTTTTACTCACTCACCTCTCTATGTAGGTGAGAACAGAGGGAATATGATAATTTTATAAAAAGGGGAAGAACGGTTTTTATATAGTGTGTGTGTGTGTGTGTGTCTACACACATACAAATACTTTACCTTTCATTTCTATCTTAAACTATATGGGTTGTTTTACAAGGTCCGCATGTACAGTGGGGAAAATAATTATTTGATACGGAGTGTAACTAAACTTTTTTTTTTTTTTTTTGTCTCTGTTTTTAGGGTGCCTGAGAATAGCTTATATATTTTTATAAGTGGATGAAAAGCATACCTGGGTAGTGTGAGAATAAAAAATGTAAGCATACAGTGGGGAAAACAATTTTGATCCTCTGCAGAGTTTGTAAGTTTGCCCACTTATGGAGAAATGAAGGGTCTATAATTTTTAATATAGGTGTATTTTAAATTATAGAGACAGGAATATAAACAAAAAATCCAGAAAAAACACATGACTCAAATGTTATAAATTGAGTTGCAGTTCAGTGAGTAAAATAAGTATTTGTTCCTCTACCAACCAACAATAATTCTGGCTTCCACAGACTGGCTATGTGCTCATGTGGTACACAGGTTAGTCCTGGCAATTTAATAAGGTGCTCCTAACGACAGCTTTATGTGTATAAAAGAAACCTGTTCACAGAATCTTTCTTGGGCACCATGAGGGGCAAGACCAAAGAGCTGTCAGAGGAAGTCAGGGACAAGATTGTAGACCTGCACAAAGCTGGAATGGGCTACAAGACCATCAGCAAGAAGCTTGGTGAGAAGGAGACAACTGTTGGAGCAATTATTTGCAACTGGAAGAAATACAAAATAACCATCAATCACTCTTGGTCTGTAGCTCTATGCAAAATTTCATGGAGCTACAGACCATGATGATCATGAGAAAAAGTGAAGGATCAGCCCAGAACTGCAGGAGAGGTACTTGTGAACAGGGGTGGACTGACCATTTGAAAAGTCGGCAGTGCCCGGGGTCATTAGGGGGCCCCATGAGATGCCCCTGGTACCTTTTTCATAGGCTTTTTTGAGTTTGGGCAAGGACACAGGGGCCCCATGATCCCCTATTGCCCGAGGCCCCATGAGTTGTCAGTCCGCCCCTGCTTGTGAATGATCTCAAGGCAGTTGGGACCACAGTCACCAAACAAACCATTGGTAACACAATACTCCGCCATGGATTGAGATTCTGCAGCTCCCACAAGGTCCCCCTCCTCAAGAAGGCACATGTACAGGTCCGTCTGAAGTTTGCCAATGAACATCTAAATGATTCAGAGAAGGATTGGGAAAAAAGTGTTGTGGTCAGATGAGACTTAAATTTAGGTCTTTGGCATTAACTTACTGTGTTTGGAGGAAGAAAAATGCTGACTATGCCCCTAAGATCACCATCCTTACAGTCAAGCACGAGGTGGAAACTTTATGCTTTGGGGCTGTTTCTCTGGTAAAAGTACAGGCTGGCTTTGCCATATTAGGAGGCCAATGGACGGGGCCATGTATTCTAAAATCTTGGATGAGAACCTTATTCCCTCCAGTGCTAGAACACTGAAGATGGGTCGTGGATGGGTCTTCCAGCATGACAGTAACCCAAAACATACCACCAAGGCAACAAAGGAGTGTCTCAAGAAGAAGCACATTAAGGTTTTGGAGTGGCCTAGCCAGTCTCCAGACTTTAATCCTATAGAAAATGTATAGAGAGAGCTGAAACTTTGAGTTGCCAAGCGACAGCCAAGAAACCTAAAGGTTTTAGAGAAGATCTGTAAAGAAATCCCTCCTGAGATGTGTGCAAACCTGGTAACCAACTACAAGAAATGTCTTACCTCTGTGCTTGCCAGCAATGGTTTTCCCATCAAGTACTAAGTCATGTTTTGCTTGAGGATCAAATATTTATTTTACTCACTGAACTGCAACTTAATTTATAACATTTGTATTATGTGTTTTTTTTTTTTTTTTTGATATTCTGTCTCTATCATTTAAAATACACCTATGATCAAAATTATAGACCGTTCATTTCTTTGCAAGTGGGCAAACTTACAAAATCTGCGGGGATCAAATATTTATTTTCCCCACTGTACTTATACTTTTCTCAACCTTTTTAACACCGAGGAGCCTTTGAAATAACTTTCAAGTTCCAGGGATTCCCCTCTACTCATGACTAGATCTACAGTTTATGGCACATTAGCATGATGGTCAGTAGGAAGAGGGATCCTTACATGGTGCTGGTTTAGGAGAGTTTGTTATATGCATTTTATAAAAAACTTGTTTTACAAATTTTGGGTAAACATATGATTAATTACTGAGTAATTATTGGAATAATTAATATTTGTTTTTGGATACAGTGGGGAAAAAAAAAACAACTGAGTAATGTCCTTGATACTTTTTTTTTGAACTAACATCCAATTTTTCAGGACAAGCTTACTGGGTATGTCTCCTTCTTCAAGGTCCAAGCAGTACTCGAAGAAAGGGACTTACCCTGACAGCTTGTCCTGAAAAATTGGATGTTCGTGCAAATTAAAAAAGCATCATGGGCAGTAGTATTTTTTTCGCAAGTGCACTAATATGGCTACAGTCACCTCAAGCAGGCTGGAGTGGGAAAAGGTTAGACCCCATTGTCCTTATTGGGGAGATTTACTCTTCTTCTTTTCATTGTCATCAGGAAAGTGATGGCAAATCCAAAATTGTAGAATTGTCCCCAGAACAAGAGGTGAGATGAAATCTATCAATGGGGACAAAGAGTTCTGGGAACATTTTCTGTAGATTTCCTCTAACTTTGTTGAGTCTCTGGAACAGAAAGTGAGGGAATATTTCCCCAAATATATATACCAAAAATCCTTAAAAAATCATAAAGATCACAAATAGGGTAAACAGGACATGGTAGAAATGTGCATGGGACATCTTAGCTTCTAGCATGCAACAAAATGAGTTAAAAAACTAACAAAAATCACATGACCAGTTTGAATGGGCTCAAATAAATCTTGGAAACTCTCATGAAGTCCATACTGTTGTTACCCAGGAGAGAAAAAGAGCAAATGCAACAATATGACGCTCAGAAAGAAATAAATACAAACAATGTATAGGACAGTAGCAGATTGTAAGATAAGTAAAACTGATATCAATATAAATCCATTATATGCAAAACCTCTGTACAGCACAAGAAGGATGGTTGTCATGTGTTTTTTTTTCCTGGTTGCATACTTGTTATAGACTGGTGAATCACTAGATACCAGTAACCAAAGGTTTTATCTATAAAAACAAGTCAGGCTTGGCAGCTCTCATGTTTGTATCTGACAGGTTTGCTTTATTGTGGATTTTATTAGCCATTCAAGTAACCCCAGTGGTGTATTTTGGTTTTGAGCTGCCCTAGGCAAGACTAAAATTGCGCTGCCCATCTAAATGTGTCCCACCCCTTCCTGTTTAGGGCCCACCCATTCATCTGTAAACTCCACCCCTTCCACTTTAGGCTCCACTTCTTCCTATTAGAGCTCCACCCCAGGAGACGGTAAGATACTGAGGACAGGATACAGGAGACGCTCAGAGACTGCAGACAGGATACAGGAGAGGGTCCCCACAACCCCTCCCCTTGCATCAGGGCCCCCAAGTTCCCCCTCCTTAAATCGGGGTCCCTGGAGTCCCCCCTCAACATTAGGGTCCAAACCCTCTCCCAATAAATCAGGATCCCCTTTTAATCATGGTCTCCTGAGTCCCCCCACCTTATGTGCATCAGAGTCCCCATAGCCCATCCTCTTTTATATCAGGGTCTCCCAGAGCCCCCTCCTTAAATTAGGTTTCCCAGAGTCCTCCCTCCTTACATTAGGATCCCAAAAGTCCCCTCCCCCAATACATCAGGGTCAGTCCTTTACATCATGGTCTCCAGAGTCCCCCCCCCTCCCCACCTTACATCAGGGTCCCCATAGGCATTTTCTTTACATCATGGTCCCCCAAAGCCCCCCTCCTTAAATACGGGTCCCCATAGTCCCTACCACTTACATCAGGGTCCCTAGAGTCCCCACCAATACATCAGGGTCCACCTTTACATCATGGTCTCCAGAGTCCCCCCACCCATAGACCCTCCCCTTACATTAGGGTTCCTAGAGCCCATTCTCTTTAATATGGTCCCCAAAAATGGACCCTTACCTCAAGGTCCATTCCATTCATTCCTCCAGGCAGCTACATGAGCTGGAAGAAGTCCTGTCCTTGCCGCCCTCCTCCTCCTCTGAATGAATGTCATGGCCTGGGGGCGGGGCAAGCACCTGATTGGTTGCTAGGACCGCTGATCTGCTAGCAACCAATCACGTGCTTTCCCTGCCCCCACTAGAGCTGACCGTGACAAGACAGGGCAGTGGCATGGCAAGCCGCTCCACCACCCAAACACAGCCGAGCCATGCCCCATCCGAGCACACATGAGAATGCTGCCCCATCCGAACACAAACAAGTCTGCCCCCCCTCCCAAACACAGCCCCCAAGCACAGGCAAGCCGCCCCCCCGCCCGAGCACAGCCGAGCCGTCCCCCTCCTGAGCACACACGAGAACACCCCCCCCCCCCCCCCCCGCCAAAGCTGAGCCGAGCCGCCCCCAAGCACAGCCGAGCCGCCCCCCCCCTTCCCGAACACAGCCAAGCCCATATCCCCCTCCTGAACACAGCCAAGCCCGCACCCCCTTCCCAACCACAGCCGAGCCCGCCCCCCCTCCTGACCACAGCCGAGCCCGCCCCCCCTCCTGACCACAGCCGAGCCCGCCCCCCCTCCTGACCACAGCCGAGCCCGCCCCCCCTCCTGACCACAGCCGAGCCCGCCCCCCCTCCTGACCACAGCCGAGCCCGCCCTCCCTCTCGACCACAGCCGAGCCCATCCTCCCGCCCGATCACACACAAGACGGCACTGGTCCCCTTCTGCCTGGGGGGCGATGCCGCCCCCCCCCCCTGAAAAATGCCGCCCAAGGCAGCTGCCTTGTTTGCTTCGCGCCAGATAAGCCCCTGAGTAAGCCATAAAAGTAGCAGAGAACTTTAAATAGACCGGTAATGTTTTATAGGTTTTCATTTGCAGATTCAAAATATAGACATATAATTTTTCTTTTCATAGCAACAGATCTCCATTAAAAGTATGGTCAGGGCATACCTGCATGCCCAACCATCCTCTCAATATAAATGTATGATTACATCTTTGCTGCAGAAAAATTTAAACCTTTTTGGCAGTTTCCTTGTTTGAAGCACACCAAATATGCTGCTAAAAATGGCTGTCAACAAGTAGGTTAATCTCTCAGTATAGATTTCATCTCCTTGCATCCCAGATTGGGAAACAGCATTGAAACTAACAGGTAACTACCCTCACCACCACTTTAGTAGGTACTCGATTCTGAGTGCTCCAGTTTTAGTAAATCTACCCCCATGTGCCTGTTGTGGCTCCAACTTCTATGTGCCAGTTGTGGCCCTGGATATAAAGTAGTTTAGTTGCAACTTTATTTCAACTGTACATTTACACTTCAAGCCCTTTCTGCTTACCATTATTTATTTTTTTTAATTAAAACAAAATGTGATGGTGGGGCACTGGACACAACTGTGTATGAGAATAAATATAAATTCTAGTCCTTGGAGATTGCTGTGCATTGACCAGGGTGCTCTTAAAATCTTAATCTTCATTTTCCAATAATTACATGTTCAGTAATATCCTACATCATTGCCAGCATACACTCCCTTATGAAGGGGAATTTGTGAGCCCATCAAATGGGTTGGCTATACCATCTGACTTTTTATTGTGAATAATAAACATTCATTGTACTAAATCTTGAGTTATAGCACTCTCATGCTTCTTTTCTAGATTAAAAAACTGTATAATGAAGGAAAGGTTTGCTGGCTGATTTGCTTCATTTTATGATTCTCACATGGCAGATGTTACGGGAAGCTAAAGAGAAGGAGAAGCAGAGACTGTCTGAGCAGGTGTCAGATGAGAGGACAGCTCACTTTGGAATGTTGTTCGATGAGTATCAGGGACTGTCACACCTGGAGGCCTTGGAAATTCTGTCCAATGAAAGTGAGACAAAGGTAATCTAGGAGTGTGATCCCATTTATAGTTCACCTTGTTATCTGTATACAGTTTATTAAATGCTTCTGTCTTTTGTGAATGCCAGTTTGAAATGAACACTATTAAGTTGGTTTGTGTCATTTGTTTTACAGTACCTTTAAAGTGGTTCCAAAGCTTAAAGGTTTTTACCGTTATTATTATTATTATTATTATTATTATTATTATTATTATACAGGATTTATATAAAGCCAACAGTTTGCACAGTGCTTTACAAAATGAAGGTAGACATTACAGTTACAATACAATTTGGTACAAAAGGAAACAGAGGGCCCTGCTTGTTAGATCTTACAATCTAGGAGATCTAGGATCTACAATCTAGGAGAATGATTTATTGATTTTTATGCATTAAGGTAAAAAATCTTTTGTGTAACAGAACCCCCCTTATACTTGAGCCCAGGGGTGGACTGACCATTTGGAAACTCGGGCACTGCCCGGGGTCAGTAGGGGGCCCCATGAGATGTCCCTGGTACCTTTTTCATAGGCTTTTTTGAGTTTGGGCAAGGACACAGGGGCCCTATGATCCCCTATTGCCTGGGGGCCCCCATAAGTTGTCAGTGCGCCCCTGCTTGAGCCCATTCCTGATCCAGCACTGTGCATGAGAGCAGAGGCTCTCCTGACTCTATCTCCCTCCCTGAGCAGATTGATTCCAGCAGATGCCATTGACTCCCACTGTTGTCAATCAAATCCTGTGATTAGGGAGATGGAGCAGGACCAAGCCATCCTGTCTGTGTCAAGCCGCAGAAAGGGCGCTCAAGAGCAAGCCCACACCAGTGCCCCCATAGGAAGCAGCTTCTTATGGGGGCACTCGCTGAAGAGGAGGAACCAGGAGAGCCAGCAGGGGACCCAAGAAGAGGAAGATCATGGCTGCTCTGTGCAAAACCATTTCACAGAGCAAGTAAGTATGACTTGTTTGTAATTTTATTAGAAAAAAAGCAGATTCAATATCACTTTTAAGTCTAATTACTTTGCAGTGGTAATAAAGATTAGAAATAATGATAAACGATATAAAATGTTTTAGGCTTAAGTCATAAATATACCAGAATATGCATATTTTTGTCAAAACGGATATGCAGCAATTATAATGTGACACTGCTAGGAGGACGTGTGCAATGCCAGCCCAGATAGTTTTGGATGCACTGTGGAAGGGTTAAAACGTCAGGTTTTTTATGTTGTTTGTGTCCATGTTTATGGCTGGCCATTTATTTATGCAATTTTGGGTTGAAGAAAGAAAATCGCTTGATTCCTCCACAGTTAGTGTTGATGGGGGAATCCCTCCTGCTGCGCTATTGTATTCTGACAGCAGGAGGTTTTCCCGACATCAGAATACAATGATCACTGCTGCCGTCTATAGCCAGCGGCAATGATTGTACAAAAAAATAAATGGGCTGGTTCTATCAATAAATTGAATTCAGTACCACCAGCCTGCCCATAGATGGATCGAAAATTCGACCGGTTTATTTATTTCTGGTACTTTATATAGCGCTGTCAATTTACGCAGCACTTCACATACATATTGTACATTCACATCAGTCCCTAACCCTCAAGGGGCATACAATCTAAAGTCCCTATCTCACATTCATACATACATATACTAGGGCCACTTTAGACAGGATCCAATAAACCTACCAGCATGTCTTTGTAATGTGGGAGGAAACCGGAGGACCCGGAGGAAACCCATGCAGGCACAGGGAGAACATGCAAACTCCAGGCAGGTGGTGCTGTGGTTGGGATTCAAACCAACGGCCCTAGTACTGCCAGGTGGAAGTGCTAACCATTTAGCCACTGTGCTGCTCAGTTCCTGCTGAACTGGCCAAATTCAATCTGTTTATGGCCAGCCTTAAAGTTATTGTTCTGTTAGATTTTAAAAGCTATCTGTGTCTTCTTTAGTAACTTTTATCTCTACATAGAGGGAAAGTCTCTCCAATGGGACAATAGCAATCAAATCCAGAAGAAGAATCTAGACTTTCCTTACTCTGCTAGAAAGTATATTTGCAGTCTGTTTCCTCGTTGCGGGGAATTCCATTCACTGCATGCTCTTCCTGACACCTGTGTTGTGCTTTACCCTAGGTTCACACCTAAGCGTTTTCCGCAGTGTTTTGTATTTTGCAGAAATGGACTACAGTCCATTTAACATGGTTTCCTATGGGACACGTTCACATCTCCACATTTTCACCCAGTGCATTTTTTGGAAAGGGTCAAGGAATGTTTGTATTGGCCAAGGAAGATGTATTTACTGCTGACCATAACAGTACCTTGCCACTGGGAAAATCCACTCATTGGCTAGGAAGGGGAATCTGCAGTAGTCACACACACACACTATATATATATATATATATATATATATATATATATATATATATATATATATATATATATATATATATGTATATATGTACAGTAGGGATCGAAAGTTTGGGCACCCCAGCTAAAAATATGTATTAATGTGCATAAAGAAGCCAAGGAAAGATGGAAAAATCTCCAAAAGGCATCAAATTACAGATTAGACATTCTTATAATATGCCAACAAAAGTTAGATTTTATTTCCATCATTTACGCTTTCAAAATAACAGAAAACAAACAAATGGCGTCTGCAAAAGTTTGGGCACCCTGCAGAGTTAATATCTTGTACTGCCCCCTTTGGCAAGTATCCCAGCTTGTAAACGCTTTTTGTAGCCAGCCAAGAGTCTTTCAATTCTTGTTTGAGGTATCTTTGCCCATTCTTCCTTACAAAAGTCTTCCAGTTCTTTGAGATTTCTGGGCTGTCTGTCACGCACTGCTCTTTTAAGGTCTATCCATAGATTTTCAATTATGTTGAGGTCAGGAGATTGTAAAGACCATGGCAAAACCTTCAGTTTATGCCTCTTGATGTAATCCCCCGTGGATTTCGGGTGTGTTTAGGATCATTATCCATTTGTAGAAGCCATCCTATCTTTAACTTCAGCTTTTTCACAGATGGCATCAAGTTACCATCCAAAATTTGCTGAAATTTTATTGAATCCATTTTTCCTTCTACTCGTGAGATGTTCCCTGTGCCACTGGCTGCAACACAACCCCAAAGCATGATTGATCCAACCCCATGCTTAACAGTTGGACAGAGGTTCTTTTCATTAAATTCTGTGCCCCTTCTTCTCCAAACGTACCTTTGTTCATTCCGGCCAAAAAGTTAAATTTTACCCTCATCGGTCCACAGAACATGTTTCCAAAATGCATCAGGCTTGTCTATATGTTCATTTGCAAAGTTCAAACGATGATTTTTGTGGTGAGGACGTAGAAGAGGTTTTCTTCTGATGACTCTTCCATGAAGACCATATTTGTACAAGTATCTCTTTATAGTGGAATAGTGTACCACAACTCCAGTGTCTGCCAGATCTTTCTGGAGGGATAGTGCAGTCAAACGTGGGTTTTGAATTGTTTTTCTCACAATCCTGCAAGCTGTTCTGTCTGATATTTTTCTTGGTCTTCCAGATCTTGCTTTAACTTCCACTGTTCCTGATGACTGCCATTTCTTAATTACATTCCGAACAGAGGATATTGACATCTGAAAACGCTTTGCTATCTTCTTATAGCCTTCTCCAGCTTTGTGAGCGTCAACTATTTTCAGTTTCAGTTTTCTAGACAACTGCTTAGAAGAACCCATGGTGCTGATTGTTGGGGCAAGGTCAGATGAGTCTGGGCATTTAAAACCTTTGAGATTGACATAACCTGGTCTTCCCAGACGATGATTGAGAACAATCCATGACACTGGCAGGTCTCAGCTTGGCAAAGGGGGCAGTGCATGCTAAAAATTCTGCAGGGTGCCCAAACTTTTGCAGACGCCATTTTTTTGTTTTCTGTTATTTTGAAAGTGTAAATGATGGAAATAAAATCTAACTTTTGTTGACATATTATAAGAATGTCTAATCTGTAATTTGATGCCTTTTGGAGATTTTTCCATCTTTCCTTGGCTTCTTTATGCACATTAATACAAATTTTTAGCTGGGGTGCCCAAACTTTCGATCCCCACTGTATATATATATATATGTGTATATATATATGTGTGTGTGTGTGTGTGTGTATGTATATATGTGTGTATATATATATATATATATATATATATATATTATTATATTATTATATATATTATTATTATTATTATATTATTATTTTTTTTTTTTTTTTTTTTTTTTTTTTTTTTAATGCATTCAGTGACAAAAAGGTTGTATAGGATATGATCATATTATGTCCATGGGTATCTTTAATGTTTAGAACTAGACCGGTTTCTCATTCAATAGTTTAGTATCTTATACTCTGTTAGAAGCATGCAGTTGCTGGGAGAATAAACGATTTTTAAGGTATTTTTCTACCTTTCTGGGCTTCCTCTTCACCATGGTTCAGCATATTGTCTGTAGATGAGGGGTTTCTGACAGGTGGAGTGAAGGACTTCACCAGATCAAATGTCAGAAAAGAATCACAAGCAGAGCTATCTATGAGTAGCCATACCCACCGCACTATATTTATTGTTTACTAAAATAACTACGTAGATCTGCCTGATACTATATTTCGGTAGTCTTCCATTCTGATGTTTGTCAAAAAATGTAGTTCTGACTGACAACGGTGTAAATTTTCAGAGGTGAGATGCAGATTGAGTTGTCTGATTTCTTTTGTTATTAGTGCTTAAAATGTTTAACAGTACAAAAAAAGTGTAAAACCCTGGAATAGTAATCATGTGTCCTTACAGGTCCAAGCATACTTATCATCATTGAACGAGGAAAAGCTGGAAACACTTAAAGCAGAACTTATCGCAATCAAAGACATTTTCCTTCAGAAAGACTTTGACAATGGAGAAGAATACAGCAAAGAAGGTACCAGTATTTTTAAGGCCCTGCTCTATATAATAAAGAACATTTGGAGGTAACTCATAGCAAATTAAATTGGACACTATGGAGGGTTTTTCCTAAAACTGGAGCATGCAAAATCTGATGCAGCTATGCATGGACACCAATCAGCTTCTAGGTTTATTGCCAAAGCTTAATTGAACAAGCTAAAGTAAGAAGCTGATTGGCTACCATGCACAGGTGCACCAGATTCTGAGTGCTCCAGTTTTAGTAAATCTACCCCTATGGGTTGCAACAGTTTGTAATTTATTATTTCAGCTGCTTTATTGAGTTGTGAACATTTAAAGTTTAAGTGAACCATCACCATATAAAACAATCCATACAGTTTAAAATAGAAATCAAAGGTAAAACATTTGTGTATCGATATTTTTACCAAACTAGCTAGAGAACGGACCACACTGTGCTCTCATGCATAGTGTGGTAAGCTTTTAACAGGAAAGCAGAGGGACTGGCAGGAACACAAAACTAATACAGCACTACAAAGAGAACAGGATACTTTTTCATACAAGTACATCATACAGCAGGCACATACAGTGCCTTGAAAAAGTAGTCATACCCCTAGTATGTAAATGAATGTGGCCTCAGGGACGTGCCTGGAGCAGCGTTGGCTGAGACCACATTCTTCTACATACTAGTGCATTGGGTTGGTGAGCGGCGCCTTTTCTTCTCTTTGCTAAAGCTTAAAATCTGAGCTGTGTATGGCAGCTTAAAGGTTTCGTAAACCCAAATTTCATATTTCCATTACAGTGCCTGAAAAAGTATTCATACCCCTTGAAATTTTCCACATTTTGTCATGTTACAACAAAAACGTAAATGTATGTTATTGGGATTTTTATTTGGGACTTAGTCAGTAGAGTTCACCTTTGTGTAATTTAATCTCCATATAAATACATCTGTTCTGTGAAGCCCTCAGAGGTTTATTATAGAACATTAGTGAACAAACAGCATCATGAAGGCCAAGGAAAATGCCAGACAGCTCAGGGACAAGGTTGTGGAGAAGTTTAAAGCAGGGTTAAGTCATAAAAAAATATCCTAAGCTTTGAACATGTCACAACACTGTTCAATCCATCATCCAAAAATGGAAAGTGTGTGGCACAACAGCAAACCTACCAAAAAATGGCCGTCCACCTAAACTGACAGGCCGGGCAAGGAGAGCACTAATCAGAGAAGAAGCCAAGAGGCCCATGATAACTCTGGAGGCTCAGGTGGGATAATCTGTCCACAGAACAACTATTAGTCATGCACTCCACAAATCTGGCCTTTATGGAAGAGTGGCAAGAAGAAAGCCATTGTTGAAAGAAAGCCATAAGTTGTCCCATTTGCTGTTTGTGAGAAGCCATGTGGGGGACACAGCAAACATTTGGTAGAAGGTGCTCTGGTCAGATGAAACCAAATCTGAACTTTTTGGCCTAAAAGCAAAACACTATGTGTGGCGGGAAACTAACATTGCACATCACCCTGAACATACCATGTCCACCATGAAACATGGTGGTGGCAGCATCATGTTGTGGGGATGCTTTTCTTCAGGAGGGACAGGGAAACTGGTCAGAGTTGATGAGAAGATGGATGGCGCAAAATACTTGGCAATCTTAGAAGAAAATCTGTCAATAGTCTGCAAAAGACTTTAGACTGGGGTGGAGGTTCACCTTCCAGGAAGACAACGACCCTGAACATACAGCCAGAACTACAAATGGTTTAGATCAAAGCATATTCATACGTAAGAATGGCCCAGCCAAAGTCCAGAACTAAATCCAATTAAGAATCTGTGGCAAGACTTGAAAATTGCTGTTCACAGACGCTCTCCATCCAATCTGACAGAGATTGAGCTATTTTGCAAAGAAGAATGGGCAAAAATTCCACTCTTTTAGATGTGCAAAGCTGGTAGAGACATTCCCAAAAAACTTGCAGCTGTAATTGCAGCAAAAGGTGGTTCTACAAAGTATTGACTCCGGGGGACTGAATACAAATGCACACCACACTATTCAGATATTTATTTGTAAAAAATGTTTAAAACCATTTATCATTTTCCTTCCACTTCACAATTATGTGCCACTTTGTGTTGGTCTATCACATAAATTCCCAATAAAATACATTTACATTTTTGTTTGTAACATGACAAAATGTGGAAAATTTCAAAGGGTATGAATACTTTCAGGGCACTGTATGGGAAATATGAAATTTGGGGTTTACTAATTCTTTAAGCTGGCCATACACAGCTCAGATTTAAAGATTTATCAAAGAAAAGCGCCGCTCACCAACCCAGTGCATTAATATGTAGAAAAATGTGGTCTCAGCCAAGGCCGCTCCATCTATGTCCCTGAGGACCTGAGGCCACATTCATTTACATACTAATGTACTGGATTGGCAAGCTGCACCTTTTCTTCTCTTGCATAATGCTCTCACACCTCTGAATAATGCACTGATGCTAGCTCCCTTCCCCAAAACCAGTGGGGAGATCATTGTCTCAGCTTAGAGCTGCACTGCAAGTTTCATTTGGATCAAATTTTAAGCTGTTGGTGGCCTTGTTGGCACCACCCGGCTTAACGAACTTCAGTTGAAAAATTGAAGGACCTGGGAGGAAAATTATCAACCAAACAGTGACTGCATCTTATTCGATGCAGTCAGTTCTTCAGGTATTCAAGCAGCCATGATTTTAGCAACTGCTTGAATACAGTATTGCTAGTCTTAAACCATAAACGTTCAGCAGGGACAGGCTCAATTTCAATCTGTGTGTGACAGTCTCTGCTTGACATTTGATCAACTTCTCTTGAAGAGACATGCTTGAAATTTTTGCTCAATCAGCAGTTGCAGACAATCCAAGTCCTTCTAGGTCCAAAAAAACACAGAAAAGGTCTGCATACTATTCAGTTTTTTTCAGAGATAAACAGGATAGATTTCTGGTAGTCAGGTGTAAATGGACACACACCTGTTTACGTCCGCCTGCCCATAGACCTCAAAAGGGTCTGTTGGGGTCCAGGTGAAAGCTAAAGAATAAATAAGAATGTCACAAAAGTGACATCAATACCATTCGGCTTTGACTCTGTAGCATTCTGCTTCTTTTTGGAAGAGATCTAACTATGTCCAAGTATACCTGGGAAATTGATGTTTATTTTAATGTACAGGCTTGCTTCTAGTGCCTACTATGTAAACTCCTGAACTCCGTGTAAAGAAGGAAAAACTTCTGCACAATCCACTAATACACACAGGTGATGTTCTATGTATCTTATGTTATCAGACACATTTGATACACAGAATATCTGAAATCTTTACACCCATGTTCCTGGGTCACTTTGACAGCTGTCAGCAGCTGTCTGTGGGCCTCTGTTCATCTCTATAATGAATGGAGATTATTGAATGGCACATAATATTGTGCTATCAGTTTCTAAAAACTAGGGAGGCATACTGGAGGAGAGTGGAATCGTAAAATAAGGTTGTGTGTCTTCATACTACAATGACATAAATGGAGGCATGATTCTGCTAATTTGGGTAGGTAGGTTTATGGTATAACCAACAGAGGCTGCAATACCTCCACCTGTGAGATACTCCTCACTTTTAATTTCAAAAGCAAAAATGGAATCCTCTTTGAAAGTGGTAGTAAAGAACATTTGTTTATGTTTTACCTACAGGTCGGCCTATAATAAGGCTTACCTTTAAGGTACTGTAAATATCTCCTAAACGTGCACTATTTAGGATAGTGGTACTCAACCTGTGGCCCTCAGAGCCCTCAAATGTGGTCCTCAACCCCAAACCAGGGAAATGCACTTTCTATTATATCCTGGTAAATTGCAGTGCATCAATGTGCAGGCAATCTTTATAGGGGGCTCAGGAAAGGTAAGATCGCATTTACATTTGTGGTTGGGGGGGTATAAAACCCTGTAGTTGAGATGTTTTTACCACACCCACCCAACCACTGGTGTAGCATCAGGGATCACAATGGAAACACCCATCCCAGGGGGGCCTTTAAGCCTCCCTATCTCATACTCTGTTTTACACGTGGACAAGCGGGGTGCCATACACAGGAACTGATCCTCTCCATTTTCCTCTTGCATCTGTTGAAAGCTCACTTTTCATCTTCTACCTCCTGCTAGCATTTATTATTATTATACAGTATATAGCACCAAAGGGTATGCTCAGCACTGTACAGTAGCAAGGGGGACAGAACATGAGACAAGACCGTAACAATACACTATATGAGGGGATTGAGGGCCCTGCTCTTTCGAGCTTACAATCTAGGAGGGAGGGGAAGGTGGTACAGGAGGAGATGGTTGTGGGGGATGGAGTGGTGGGAGGAGTGGTGGGAGGAGTGGAGGAGGTTAGTTGTTAGGTGAGGTTGGGTGTTAGGTGAGGTTGGGGTAGGCTTCCCTGAAGAGGAGGGTTTTCAGGCATTTATGTTCATTATGATATTCAAAATAAAAAAAATAATTGTGAACCATTTCATTGTGGTTTGCAACTGGTTACCATATCCCTTAAGTGGCCCTCGCTCTTCAAAAGATTGAGTACCTCTGCTTTAGGAGATATTTACTTGTGCAGCTGCCATTGATGTCACCGCATACCCGTGCCATTTCTGCAGATCTGTGCTATAAACTTTGACGTCATCACGGCTTTGCCATTCAAACTGCTGGAGCCTGTGAAACCAGAAGGAAGACCAGGGAAAGATGGAAGCCCTGTCAGCGGTGACAGTGTGCCGCTGGAGGGCTTTGTTTTAAGGTATGTTTCACATAATGTGCTAGTATGCGGTGTGTACTAGCACATTATGATATTGCCTTGCAGGGGAAAAGGTTGGTTTTTTGTTTTTGTTTTGTTTTTTTACTTTTCCAGTTTACTACCACTTTAACTATTCCAATCCTGTATTTTTTGTGCAGAGGAAGAGAAAGAAGAATTTGCCAGCATGCTTACTGAATTATTATTTGAGCTCCATGTTGCTGCTACACCTGACAAGCTAAATAAGGTCAGTTCTATTTTCATTACATATGGATGTATTATGTTGCCTATATTTGCATTTTAGGCTGTTTGACTTCTTGTTCTCTTTTCTTTGTATTATAGCCATGACTCTGTTCTATAGGTTTTCTAATAGTTTCGGTTTTGCTTGATTGCCCTTAATTTTCATTTCTGATTTATTTACATTTTGGTATCTAAAATGATATCCAATTTAAATAAAATATTTTTGGAAAAAAAAAATGATATCCAGTTCAGTCTTAGTGCATTCCTCTTTGCAGGCCAGGAAAAAAGCCCATGACTGGTTGTCTTCAGGAAGCCTGTGCCCAGAGGAACCACCAAAGAACCTAGAGGCAGATGGCCTGGAGGTGACAGAAATTGTGAAAGAAGATCCTAAAGAAAGCAGTGAAGAACCTAAAGCTGAACCACAGAAAGGCATCACCACTGAAGTAAACATTTTTTTAATAAAATAGTACAAGATGGGCATCCTGCTGTAGTATGTATAGGTGATCATTGATGAAAGAAAGCTAAAGTGAATATTCATTGAACTTTAATTTGCTTTTTTTTTTTTTTTAATTCAGATACAGATGGGTGAAAAGACTGTTAACAGCATCATCATATAAAAAAGTGTTTAGTAGATATTATTTTAATCAAATCTGATAAACAATTTTTGTTATGTGGATGCTGTTAATAGACTTTTTCATGCAACTTTATCTGAATTAAAAGAAAAAAAAACATGAAAAGAATAGTGCCCGGCGACTTCATTAGTTGGTTTAGGATGACATTCACTATAAGCGCAGGATCAGGCATTCCACGCACTGAATATTCACAAGGATGATTGCTGTGAGCTGGGAGCCATCACGGCCGGGATCGTCACTGACGGACATACGGTCATCTTTGGAACATTTACACCATTCAGATGTCTTGCTTCTTCTGAGCGTCTCATCACCGTACTGTGGAATTTACGCCTTCTTTCACAATGAACTTCATCACCACAAGCTGTTCCATGCATGTACTAATGCCATCTTGATTATTGGTCTCTGGACTGATCCACATGTGCGCTACCTAACAGTAATCGGACACACTTGCCTCTTATGAATGTGTGTAGTACTGCCAATACCTGTAAAATGCAAAAAAAGTCTGTGTGTGTGTGTTCACATCAGTCCCTTCCCCCAATGAGCGTACAATGTAAAGACCCTATCTTACATGCAGATACTGAGGCTAGTTTAGACCGGAACCAATTTAATGGTGTTTGCTTTGATCTCTCTGGCTTTTGCAAAGTGAGGTACTGTCCTGGGACAAGTATGCAACCCAGGAAAGTCAAAGTGACCTCAAATATGATAATCTGGACACCACCACTGAGTCAGCAGAATAGCTATGGATCATTATGACAGCCAGGAAACTACATTCAGAAAGAGAGATTGACAATGGCAACGTCCCATATTTCTTCACTGCAGTTTCATTCGGGAGGTTCAAAAGATAAATGGCTACATTTGCATTTTAGGTAAAAAAAAACTCTTTTACTTTATTGAATTGAATTTATATTCAGCAGAGGTCTGCTTGTTTTATGATACCTGGGATCTTTGGTCATAAATTGAAGTTTGAAAAGTCTGTGTTAATTCATTTGAAGCATTCATAAATATCCTTTACTGTGAACCTGAAAGTAGGTGGCATTATTAACTCTACTCCTTCTCCTGTGTTCAGGATGTATACATGACATCTATTGAAAGTCTGGCTGAAATCACTGCTCGCTGCATCGAACAGCTTCATAAAGTGGCAGAATTGATTCTTCATGGACAGGACATAGAAAAGCCAGTGAAGGACCAAGCTGTAGTCTTAACAAAGTGAGTGGACGAAATGTGTTTCATATATATGTTATTATGTTGATTATATATGTTATACTGCTATTGGTTTAAGTAGGGCAGAAAATATATACAGGTTTCCCATCATAGATCTCTTTGATTAATCAGAATAGATCAGAATGCTACATGCAAAGTTTATGAAGATACAGAAGTCTTGCATGGATACAATATTGAAGGTGAGGGGCCAGGTACCTCTTGGCTCCGTCCATGTCCATGGCTGGCTCTGTTACCTCCATCCCTCTTCTCTGATCATGCATGTTCTTTTAGGCTAGTATTATACTAGCTAGTGGAATTTATACTCCATGCAGCAGAAATATACAAACGGATCCCTTGTTATCACTAGATGACAATATAAGGTATATTCTACTAAGTAGATACATTATAGGTTTCTTAAAATATTGTGTAGCATGCTGTTGACATATACTGCCATGCTGTATCTTATCCAAGCTTTTCTGTGTCTGTTTCTTTATCCTCTGCTTCAACTTCAGTCTGCCAAAAGTCAAGACCATTCTCTTTACCACAGTTCGGGCTGAACACCACCTGCCCTGAACAATCTTTGTTGTGAGATAGCCATTGCAAGCCAAGATGATAGAGAAAGAGAGGCTTCCAAGTATAGGATCTAAGATAATAAAATTTCAGCAAATGTATCACAATAGCTTTATTGGGGGGAAAAATGTTTTCTTTGTTTAATGTTCACTGGTATATTTCTGTGCATATTCTTTTAGATTAACTGGTGCTATGTGTAAAGAAGTAACATCCTTATCAAAGAGGTTTACAGGCTGTCTGACCACTGTTGGGGTGAGTATTCAGTATTTTGTTGTCTAAAGGTTATAAGGAAGAATTTGACATTTAAAGTAACACTAATCAATTTTCCTTATTTTCCATTAATATCCACTCATTAAAGTAGAATTGCAGTCACAATCTATCTAAGGCTAAACCTACTCCCACCCCCATTCTAAGCCTATTCTATCCAAGCCTGTAAAGAAAAGATCTGTATACTTACCTATTCTGAAGCCGTTCCTGTCCAGTCTCATGATCAGATATCAGCAGCAGGTTCTGTGTAGAGGAGGGGCAGGCGAAAACAGATGCCACATAGTAAGTCTATGGGCAATGTCATCTCCCAGGCATTTCCAGCCATTGTTGGCTTTCTCTCCTGCACACAGAAACCACCTCTAGAGACTAGACTGGATCGGCTTCAGAATAAGTAAGTTTAGGGATCTTTTCTTTACAGGGTTAGATAGAATGGAGTTGGAATAGGTTTAGGTCAGTTAGGTTGTGACTGGAATTCCACCTTAATGGCCCTGTAATCTACATTGGCAAAAGTATTGGGACGCCCCTACAAATCATTGGATGCAGGTGTTCCAATCACTTCCACTGCCACAGGTGTATAAAATCAAGCACCTAGGCATGCAGACTGCTTCTACAAACATTTGTGAAAGAATAAGTCGCTGTCAGGAGCTCAGTGAACTCAAGCTTGGTACCGTGAGAGGTTGCCACCTGTGCAATAAGTCCATCTGTGAAATTTCCTTGCTACTAAATATTCCATGGTCAACTGTTCATGGTATTATAACAAATTGGAAGCCACTGGGAACAGCAGCTCAGCCACAAAGTGGTAGGCCACGTAAAATGACAGAGCGGGGTCAGTGCATGCTGAAGCACACAGTGCGCAGAAGTCGCCAACTGTCTGCAGAGTCAATAGCTAAAGACCTGCAAACTTCGTGTGGCCTTCAGATCCGCACAACAATGCTCAGAGCACTTCATGGAATGGGTTTACATGGCCGAGCAACTGCATCCATGCTTTACATCACCAAGTGCAATGCAAAGCTCCCAATGTAGTGGTGTAAAGCACGCCACCACTGGACTCTAGAGCAGTGGAGACGTGTTCTCTGGAGTGACAAATCACCCTTCTCTGTCTGGCAGTCCAATGGATGTGTCTGGGTTTGGTAGTTGCCAGGTGAACGGTACTTTCCTGACTGCATTGTGCCAAGTGTAAAGTTTGGTGGAGGGGGGATTACGGTGTGGGGTTGTTTTTCAGGGGTTGGACTTGGCCCCTTAGTTCCAGTGAAGGGAATTCTTAAAATGTTACTAAACTCAGGACCCTACATTCACTATATCTGGTCTCCCACAGTACACTGAGCATGGGAATGCATTTATTTTAGTAAATATAAACTGCTAAATACATTTTCCCATCTGCAGTATATAACAGTCATGTGACTTCTATCAGTGTCCAGCAGATCACATGTTAAAGCTTGTAAAAGGAGTTTTTTTCTGCTCTGGGAGGATGCAGAACCCCTGACCACTGTCTGGACAGTGCTGATTGGCCCTGTGCTGATCACATGCACTCTCCCAAGAAAAAAAAAACCTCTATAGCAATACACCCCAAACTGAGCATGTGCAGAGTTACTCCACACGATATGTATTCTCCGGCGATAAGAGGGGGACACTCGAAAAAGGGGAGGATCAGAGAAGTCGGGATCAAACAGCATTTTTACACAATGCAGACGATTAACCCCTTAGGTTCCACAGTGAGGTATGACCAGCATGATTTACTGCATATACAGACTGATTTTACTGTTGTGGGTTTAGTAACACTTTAAGGCGTCAGCATTCCAAGACATTTTGGGCAATTTCATACTCCCAACTTTGAGGGAACAGTTTGGGGATGGCCCCTTCTTGTTCCAACATGACTGCGCACCGGTGCACAAAGCAAGGTCCATAAAGACATGGATGAGCAAGTTTGGGGTGGAGGAACTTGACTGATCTGCACACAGTCCTGACCTCAACCCGATAGAACACCTTTAGGATGAATTAGAGTGTAGCCTGCGATCCAGGCCTTCTCATCCAACACCAGTGTCTGACCTCACAAATGTGCTTCTGGAAAGATGGGCAAACATTCCCATAGACACATTCCTAAACCTTGTGGACAGCCTTCCCAGAAGAGTTGAAGCTATTATAGCTGCAAAGGGTGGGCCAACTCAATTTTGAGCCCTGTGGACTAGGAGACTGGGATGCCATGTGTGTGTAAAGGCAGGTGTCCTAATACTTTGGGCAATATATCGTATTTTACATGACATTTGTTTCCTTGTGTGTTTTTTTTTTTTACCTCCTTGTAATGTCCTCTGTGAGCTCCCACACCTCATTTTCTACCCAACTTCCCTTTGTTTGGAACAAGCAGTGCATCTTAGCTGCGGTCCTGTCCACTGCTCTATGTAAACTATAAATCCCATAGTTCATAGTCTATGGTCAACCGCAGAAGCGAGCATAAGAGGGTGGCTACATTCCTAAATAAATGGGACCATGGAGAACAAACATGGCCACCCTGTAACAGTCAGATCACAGCAGCAAAACAAAGGTTTAGCATGGACTGGACAAATTTCGATCCATGTATGGGCAGGCTGGTTGACAGATCAACTTGTGTATAACCAGCCTGTTGGAAATTTTCCTCTCAATCAGCACTATTATCTATAGCCGGCGGTGCTGATCAGTGTGTTCTGATGGCAGGGAGGTCTCCCTGCTGTCAGAATACAATAGCGCAGCAGGAGAGATTTCCCTGCTGGTTGAACAAAGGCTGCACAGTGATTGTCCTATTACTGCTCCTCTTTGTGCAAGTTTGTAACTCAGATCAGATTTATAATGACTTAATAAACATAATACAATCCCTAAAATGTTTACTGTGTACTTGTTATATCTCAGCAGTTGTCTGACAAGGACATTGAATGCTTGAAGTGACATACAATTTTCCATTAGAGGGAGAGTCTAAAAACTGAATATTTGACAGTTATGACAATATATCCTAACACAAGTAGTAAAATGTTACACGAAGGGCTCATTTACATGTGCGGCTACACTGCCATCCCACTGATCCACAGTAGGCTACTTTATAAAGTGCTTCTGAAAGGCACCTGCTTTAGCCCTGAAAATGGCAAACCAACACATCACAACTCACTGCACACAGTTGCAGGGCGGTTGCATTGCAGCCCCATTCACTTGAACAGATTGTGTTCAGCTGTATAAATGCAACTGAATGTGACATGCTGTTAAACGTTTGCTGCGGTCAAAAAGCAGACTGTAGCTCTGTGTAGATGGACAGCTGGGGGGTGGTAGAACCTCAACTTACTCTCCTGCTGTTACCAACCCCTGGTCGCCCATGTGAACAAGTTTTAAAAAAAGTTACACTAAGGCCGACCATAGATCAACTTGTGTACAACCAAGGGTGCCCATACATGGACTTCAATTTGGCTGGTCCCTGATGAACCGGACACATTTTGATCCATGTATGACTGGCTTTAAATGCGTACTAGTTGAAAATACTCGATTTCCATTTAACATGGTGTTGTGCTTCACAGTCATGCAGTGAGTAGACTTTGTAAATTTTGGCTCGTGATTTACATCATTAATGCATGTTCTAGTAAAGTTATATTTGCTTAGATTAATACTAGGTGTGCAGTTTATTTTACAGCATGTAATTATTGGAAGATATATTAATTATAGAATGTTTGCTTTACAGAGCAAGCTGAAGGCAGAAGTCTTGAATCCTATGATCAACAGTATACAGTTGGAGGTAATCTCATACTCTGTGACCTTACTTCCTATTTTTGACAGGTGTCAGACTGGGCAGGAAGTGGCAGGAAATCCTCCCAATGGGGAGGCAGGCAGCATTAAAACCAAAGTGTTTAGTAGCATAAGGTTTAGAATCCCTGAAGGGGTTTTATTGCTGTCTACGTATGCGTATGCAGATTTACCCTCGGTCCTGTCTGGATCAGACTAGGAAACTGGGAAAGCTCTCAATAGGGCATAGACAACACTTGGAAGTAGTATTAAATTCCACATCCTAAACAGTGTTTTAAACATCTCCCACTATGTAACATGCATGGTATGTGGGCACAAGCACTTACCTATTCACCTCTACCTGTTCCAGGCCCCTCAGTGCAACTTCTCCAAACTCAATGAGATCACACACTCGCCCAGGTTTCAAGTAGCCAATTTGCTTGGTGGAGGGTTGTGGCTTGTCTGTTTGTATGGATGCACATACATTTAACATTAGTCCTGGCTGGGAGCGTGCACGCAAGTGTGGCTCCATAGAACTCTTCATGGAAAAAGAACCACCCTGATCTGGATTTCAAACAGAGGCTCTAACCCTGCCCTACCATTTCCACTAACATACAATTTTGAGGACATGCTTTCGGGGTATGTCCCCTTCTTCAAAGTCCAAACAGTACTATTACAAATCACAAAGTTTAAGCAGAATGTTAGAAGGGATTGAGAAAAAAAAAAAAAGGCTACAGATAAGATACATCATCGCTCTTGATGTATCTTATCTGTAGCCTTTTTTTTTTTTTTTTTGCCCTCAATCCCTTCTAACATTCTGCTTAAACTTTGTGATTTGTAATAGTACTGTTTGGACTTTGAAGAAGGGGACATACCCTGAAAGCATGTCCTCAAAATTGTATGTTAGTGCAAATAAAAAAAGTATCATGGACAGTACTCAATTGTTTCTGCCGCAAATGCACTAATACGGCTACAATCACCTCAAGCTACCATTTCCAAAAATTAATACATGTTTTAGTTTTTAGTTTAATACCCAATTAATTAACTGCCTACAGCAATGTTTCCATCAAACACCAAACATACCTTGATGCATCACCTTGCTCAGAAACACCCCTTCATGTTAGCCTAAGTGTACACATAGGCTTTTAGAGGAGTTTAGAGGCAGGAAAAAAAAAACACTGCCAGTCTGCCCAGGAGTAGCAGCAACTTGGCAGAAAAGCGACTGATGCTTGTAATCGCATGTAAACACTAGACGTATTTAGTGCTTAAGCGTTAATTCATTTTAATGTCCAGAATAAATTAATATTCTGGCCAATGAAATGAATTAAAGTCCAAATGCTTGACGTGGCTAAATGAAGTTAAAATTTTTACAAACGTCAAGCAGTAAGTAGGAAAGACATCTAGGAGAGATAAAGAAACGGAAAGCATCCATGAGGCTTATTTGTGACAGGTGAACATGTATAGGTGACTATAGGAAATGCACATTATTGTATTTTTTCTGTTAAATAAGCACTGCAGATCCTAAATGACTGACCTTTGTTTGTTTTCTAGGGAAGTAACAGCACAACTTATATCCAGGATGCTTTCCGGCTGCTGCTTCCCATACTGCAATTCTCCCATATTCAGGCAACCGCTTCTAAAGCCTAGCACCATCTACAACCTGAGCAAAGTCACAGCAAAGCTTAACAATACTGTTCCAGTTGACTGTGATTTAACCAATGGGAACAGCTCGCTGCTGTCTGCCGTATGCAAATTTGCACATCGTAGCGTTAAAGGTTTTGGAAAGTGTTTCATAAAGTCGATGATTTTGTGTAGATATTTAATAGTCTGATCTGCAGAAAGTAGAACACCACTGAATACCAACAGTTTAGCTTTGACTAAAAAATAAGTAGACAGCATATTATTAAGAGACCTTGTAATTTATATTTTGCAGCTATACCCAAAATAAAAGTCGACATGAAACGTTCATACCAAATAAATATTAGTCCTCCTTTAAATTAATGAAAGTGCTGTCTTTCAAAGTATGAATATCTGGTGAATGTGCTAGTCCATGGTATTTTCTGCTGCAGAGTGAAGTCAATGCGGCATAGTCATCCTGTGTAGTGGCACCTTTACATACCCTGGGATAGAGAATTGGTACGTCGGATAACCCTCCACCCCTTCTCTGCCAATCAGAGCAGGACAGATATCCACCTGACCCAGGGGAAGGGATCCTACTGGATGTATTGTGTCACTTATCACTCCACTTTCTTTCAATGGACTAAAGAACTTGGAGGCCCTTCTGATGTGGCCATGAAGGCAAAGAAGAGGATTACAGAGCTCCAGGAGGAAACTAAGTAAAAGAGAAATATGGAGAATGCTGCAACAGGGAGGAGAGACTAAATCATAAAAAGTAAAATGGCCAGAGAGAGACTTTAACTGCAGCCTATTGATAAAAGCCTCTGAAATAAAATTGCTTCTGCTCTTGGGTTATGTACAGCAACCTACTGTAATATGAATACTATAATAATATTTAATACTACTTTAACATTATTCGTAGTATAACTATATTGCATTGGAATGTAGGGTATGTTGATAATAGAGAAATATATACGGCTTCTTGCACACGGTTGCTTGAGTCCATTCAATGTAAGTGTACAATCCAAACGCACACATTCCTGCGTTAAAAACGGCTGTGTGTATAAGTGGGTGCTGCAGCGACCATCGGCTGGAACCGAACAGAATCAGCAAGGGAGAATGTCACCAGCACACCGAGGATTACCAATATGGCTCCAAAAGTTTTAATGAACGATCACATAGTTACAGTAAGGCAACGTTTCAGAATCTCACAGGATCCCTTCATCAGGCATGTGACAAATTGTGACAGAAACTGGAGAACTATTTAAGAAAACCATCCACCAATCATAGTGAAGTGAAATGAGCCTGGCCCCGCCCCATGATGTCATGTTCCCTCCAAAAATGCATTCAAATCAATGGAAACAAACATTACAAACTGCGAAAATAAACCATAAAACAATAATCAATAATTCAATGTAAGTTGCGGCATTTCCCAACCCCAGCATGGAAAGCCTGGGTGCTGCAGCTTGTAGGAATGCGAACATGTTAGATGTTCCACCCTAAAAAATGGGTGGAACATGTAACATATTCCTGAAGGTGAACATATCCTTTAATGGTCTAACAAATGCTACTGTCAGGTATATATATATATAAAAAAAAAGAAACTTTAACGAGGCTGATTTTTATATTGTGTTTTTGGAGATAGGCATAATGTTTTGCCCAAAGTACTCAGCCCCCAAAGCTAAACTGTGTGTTTTCAGTGGAGTTCTCCTTTTATGAGCCTGATGTAACATGGTAAAAAATCTATGCATAATTTAAGTGGAAGAGAAGTGAATCTTTGGTGTTCTGGAGAAAGTCAAAGAATTTATTTTTTTCCAGAATTATATAATTATGTAATTGCTCATGCTTTGAAATGTCTATGTAGCACAGCAGCTAGTCTATGACAGATTATATATTATGAGGTTGCTAAAGCTGGAGAGTGCAAAATCTGGTGCAGCTCTGCATAGAAACCAATCAGATTCCAGGTTTTTTCCTCAAAGCTTAATTGAACAAGCTGAATTTACCATGTACAGCTGCACCAGATTTTTTTACCCTCCAGGTTTAGTAAATCAACCCCTATGTATTGTTAGCAACATTCCATTGAGTAACTGTTTACAAAAAAGAAAACATTTCCAGAATTGTTTTTTTTTTTTTTGTTTTTGGGGTTTTTTTTGTTTCTAAAATTTCACTTTTTTTTTGTATTCGAGCAAATAGGGGTAATTGAGCCAACACAATATGAATGAGCCCGTTGCACATGACGAATTATTAGCAGTTGTGACTTTTATTATGATCAACTCCTAAAGCCACAGCAAAATAGAAAAGTTCTGAAAGTATATACTGTACATGTGCTATAATTATTATGAATTTGAATGACTTTAAATGTAAAGGGGCTTACATGGAGATGTTGTAAAATGGTACACCACTTGTTGCCATTGGGTGGGGAGCAACAAGAAACTTTGTAAGTTAATAAAATGTGTCTCTTTGAAGACAAAAACTCCTCTTATCCTCTGAGGAACTCTGCTGAATCATTTCCTCCAATGAGGAACCAATTTTCTTATCCCTTAATAAATAAAATATATTGTAGCAAGCTACATCTTGTTTTGTGTGAATCTTTTAAAGTAAAATGCCAGTTTTTTGAACAAATCACTATACTGTGCATATTTAAGACACAAATCAATTTCGACCCTTACTACAGGTGCCTCCCAACCCTTTAAGAGCTTTCTGATGCCTGGAGGTGGGTGGGGTTTCTGATCATGTGACCACCGTGATTGGCTGTCGCAGCAGTCACATGATCGGAAAGCTCCTGATCTCAAGTAGAAACCTGGAGCTTTCTGTTAGCCGCCAATTAATGTGCCTGGAGCAAGCACGGCGTGCACTATCGGAACAACTCATATATGCGTACTGATGCGAAGAGTTAATATCATACACAACCCATTATGCATTGCAATATTTAAATATATATTTATAAATAAATAACTTTTCCAGTTTATGCACCAGCCAGCTGATTTTCTAAAAGTTATTTTAAAAAAATTCTCTTCCTTGCAACCATAGTTACTGTACTTTTGTAGTGAAGAATTTTCAGACTTCTCATCCCCTACTTAAGTTACTGATTTTTTGCTTTTGCTTAGAAATTTGCAGAAGTGAGCATTTTACCTTGTAATTATGTAGGCATCCCGTCACTTCACTTTCAGCACATTCACTAGCAAGTTCTGTCTCAATATCTACAAAGCAGAATCTGAAATGTTTAAAATCAAGTTAATTTTAGCACACTGTAATTGTGCTTGGAGGGGAATTGACTTTGCATTGCAAGGTACTACAATACCCATCTACAATGTCTGACCATGTGTCATGATTATGATGTACTTTGCAGGGTGAAAAGCCCTTTTATGACTGTGTTCACTAATCACAGTTTAGAGTAAACACGAAGGAGTCTATGTATAAAAAATAGACCATATTTTGATTAATATAGTGCCATAATGCAGTATTTCTCCTGATTGAAAGTGGTATTAAACCCAAAACCCAAAAATTTTAATTATTGCCGCTTACCCACCCTTAGATGTGGTGGCTGCATCAGTTTTCGTTTCTTTGGCTTTTCCCCTTTGTTTTCACCTGATGATGTGGCCAGTAAAACACCTCCAGTATTAGTGAGACACCACTTTGGATGAACCAACACAGGAGGTGCAGCAGCATTGTTAGTCGGGGGGGGGAGGGTAGTGTTAAATGTATTAGCAGGTTTAAATAAAGTAACACATTGAAGCCAAACTCACACTTTATAATCAGTTCCAGCAACATTTTGTTTTCCTTTTGGGATAAAGGTTTTATATGAATAAATAAAAGCTGTTAAATAGATAAATGGTTTGTCTCATCCATGCAAACTGATACATTCTGCTGGATAGTTTGTGCTTTGAAAAACAACAGACTTGCTGGCTGGATTTCCAGATGAAAATGGAAGAAAGAAATCCTAAAAAAAGAAAACAAATGCAGCCATCACATCTAAGAATTGGTAAGCTGCAATATAAGAAATATTTGCTTTTGGGTCTAATAACACTTGAAGCATTTCAGAAAAATACCACATTATGGCCAGTAGATGGAGCCAACAATCATAGGAAATCAACTTGTTAAGCAAAAATATGGTCAGAATTTTTGAGTGCTGTGCAAATGCCTGTGGTATTCATCTGTCATAGGGGCTGTGATAAGGGCTATCCCTATGACTACGTGCATCGCACGAAACGCGTCAGGGTGGCTGCAGCAACTGGACATCTAACACAGCCATCCTGAATATATGGTCAGTAACTTTTTGGAACTTTTTTGAGATTTTGAAATTTACCATTACACCCATTATCCTTGAATAAAAGGTACCTTAAGCAATATCACACTATGTGGTCTCTTATTGGGCACTCTGTGTGCCCATTTGGAGAAAAGATGACCCTGATGGTGATACCTGGTAGCGGATTCTGGTGACCTTTTCTGTGGAGCTTGGATGGGGATACGTATGGTATCCTGACCCGAGACCTGATGACCTATCTATAGCCTGGTGACGCAGGATTAATTATTGTGCATTTTAAACGCACATCTGGTGAGTTGCGTTTTTTATCAGGGTCCCTGATGAAGTCACGAAGTGGGCATGACGCAACTAGTCGGTACGTGGGGAGGAGCTTCCGGTAATCGTGGTGACATTTCCGGCGTGGGGGCCATATTGGAACACCCTGTGTATTACCCATGCAGTACACCCATAGCATGTGGTAGGAGGCTGGAAGATTCATCGTTTTGTGAGTGGAAATCTACTTTTTATACCTATTACCAATAAAATTACTGGTTGCACTATGGAGGGTCTCTGCTTGTGTCTTACTATGACCCTGGGAGGAGCTGGCTGCTAAACTGGTGGACGCTGGAGGAGGAAGATACTTTCTAGAGAGCGATCCATACTGATAGGATCGTGTGATCCTGAAAGCGTGCTGGCCCCTTGGGGTCTAAGGAAGGAGGTGAGGGGGCATTTTGGCTGTTAAGGATTGTCACGTGTGAATCACGTACACTGCACATAATTTTGCATG